AAAAAAGAACGTTTGCATTGTATGTACTAAACAAAGACAGAACTCTGAAGATAGTTTGGGCCTTGGGATTATTTGAGTCCAGGTTAAGAAACACATTATCATTTGAGACTTATAAAAGGAGAAGCCCAAGTAGGCTCATACCAAATTAAATTATGGGAAATTTTTACACATACTAGATGAAATAAAAGAATTTTCACTTTTACCTTCCTAGAACAATTAATAGGATATATACCTAATCAAGCTATTTTATTTACGTGATTGCCTAAATATCAGTTACCTTTTGTAACGTCCTCTATTCATATCAGTTATCCTTTGGTGGCGTGATTTACTCATTTAATTCCTTAATTCCCGCAACTGGAACTCTTTAATTCACGTAGCTCTCTGGTGGTATATATTGAGTTTATGTTAGTATATATTCAGTATATGTGCGCAACTGAAATTCTTTAATTCACTTCTTTAATTCATGTAGCTCTCAGGTGGTATATATTGAGTTTATGTTAGTATATATATTCAGTATATGTGTGCAACTGAATTCCTTAATTCACGCGGCTGGTATATATTACGTTTATGTTAGTATATATTCAGTATATGTTGCAATGAAAAAAATGTCTTCCATCAAAAATTGTATCTTCCTCTTTTTTTCTTTTATACATAAAAGTATATATATAGTTTAAAAACATATTATAACATATTACTTAATATAAAATCATACATATACATAACACCAACAAAAAAATTTAGTTTATGCTATTTTTAAATAGATTTTATACATAAAAATTAGGTCTCGCGATTAGTTTCTTTATCACATACTGAAAATATACCGAGTATAAACCATACATATACAAAAAAAAAATCATCAGTTTATGCTTTGTCAATATAAACCATACATACATATAAGGTAGCCCTTATATTATACAGAACATATACCCTATATATACATAACATATACCCGATTAATTCATGGCCCCCACCCACAGTCTCCAATTTCCAGTTTTTTCTTCCATCGTCTCGAACTCTTCTGCTTCACCACCTCCATCGCGTACTCCACTTGGAACAGCCGCCCCGCCGGCAACCACGTCGTCTCGTCGGTGTCGTATAGATTCCTGAACATTTTGTAAACTCGGCTTTTCGAAATTCCCGAGATGGGTGCAGCGATTTATGTCTGCCTTTCTCGAAAATCCCAGCGGTAGAGGCTCGTCGGTGACGGCTCGTCTCTTGGCTTCAGACTTGATCGAACGTCGCCCGAGGGAGAAGGAGTTGCTGTTGTTCGGGACCCCTGGTTCTCCCTTGCTGCACGACGGTCGGAACTCGCGGCTTCACGGCTATGGCCATGGTTGATCGGACAAGAATCTGATGAAGACGTTGCGTGGCTATGGTAGATTGACGAAGAGGGTTGACAAAATCTTTTCTCTAAAATTCTGATGATGATCGATCAATTAATTAGTGCGAAGGGTTTTATTAGATTTTGAGCGAAATCAATCGATGAGGAAGAAGAAGGGTTCTGAAATTTGGGGCAAATTGTAGAAGAAGGAGATGAGAGGGAGAGAGAAGAAGAAGACGAATAGAGAGAGGGAGAGAGAGAAAGCGTGTGATAATTATAGATCCCACTAAATCTGCTTTTACCATATTTCAATAATCTAGTATGTTTGTAAATAAATATGATAGTTTTAGCTAATTTGCAAATAAATATATATGAGTTATAATTATGTAATAAAAATGTTAAGATGTAGTGGATGGTATAATTTCCTCTTAAATTAATGTGTTATGACTGATAAAAAACCGCACGAACAGAAGGAAATCCTTTTTTTTTCTTTTTGTTCTTGAGAAAACCCTTTTCTTCTCTACAGAATTCCTTTTCCATCTTCTTCAAAATTCCCAGAAATTCAACTTCTTCCTCAACGTCGAGCTTCAATCGGAATTACGGGAGAATTGAAAGTACCTGACAGCAGATATTTCAATTTCGGCGCCGTCGAACTTCAACTTGAAAATTGTCAGCCTGACATCGAGCTTTGACGGGATAATCAGCGGCTGAATATGTGGATGGATGTGGAGGCAGAGGTCGGAGACTTGGAGGTAGAGGTCCGAGGCGGTGGTCGGAGGTTGGAAGTGGGCGGACGGGTGAAAGTGAGCTTCAATTTTTAGGGGTTCTTCGTTTATGATTTTTTAAGGTTGGCGAACAGGATGAATTTCTGATTTTGTGATGACTGACTAGTGCCTACCTATCCATTTATTATTATTATTATTATTATTATTATTATTATTATTATTATTATTTTCAATTTTAGCGGGCCAACCCGCGGGTTAGCCCACCCCGCCCCGCCCTGGGCCGCGTCCCGTGCAGGCTGGCCCGTTTAGGCCCGGTCCCCAGCGGACCTAAAAAATCCCGACCCAACTCGCCCATTTTGCGGGGCGGGGCGGGCCGGCTCGCGGGCGGTTTTGACAGCTCTACTTGGAGATTGTTGTAGCAAATTGTGTTTTATTACCGAATAATGAATCCCGACCTCGGATTGATCTCTCGAGGAAGGCGGTTTGAAATCTAGAATTGATGTCGCTCACACAAGAAAAGGAAATAAGTCATAAACATTCTAATCACGGTGGGATTGGTGAAATTATCTAAAGATTACTAAACAGTTGAATACAAATAACTAACAATAAAATCACTAAAGAAGTAGAACGAGTTTTAGGGGTCTAGAATATCGCTTCAAGTCTTAAAACTATGTCAAATGTACTAGTGTTTGGTTTAAAGACTGAGTCCCTCACTTAAATGCCTAGCGGTTTCAGTCCTAATAACTCTCGTAACAAAGGATTGAACAAAAATGGGCAAGCTTCCATATGCACAAACCTAGAGGTCCATCCCCGATACTTTTACGAACACGGGTTCATACATAGATAATATGAACTCATAGATGATACAATTATGAACACGCCTACCCTATTCGAATTATGGTCATATACTCTATTTCCTTCTGGATTCTAGGTATCTATTTAGACAAGATGGTGATTAATCAACTAATCATTTTAATCAAGCAATTTGAACATGTATGAACATCACACATTCAACACGAAGTCATAAAGAGAATTGAGACCCCTAACCAGGGGCCAAACCAGAAAATTAGTTGAGAGGGGCCAAAAGACATGACATAATTTTTAAGGATAACAAAAATGCATAAAACAATTTACCTTATAGTTACAAACTTACAATTGTTCGCCTTGTGAGTAGAGCTGTAAATGAACCGAGCGTTCGCGAACAAAAGCTCGTTCAAGCTCGTTCGTGTTCGACAAAAGCTCATTCCTTTGTTAATCGAGCCGAGTTCGAACAGAAATTAGACTCGTTTAATAATCGAACGAACACGAGCTCGTTCCTAAACGTTCGTTTATGTCCGCGAACATTAATTTAATATAAGTTTATTTTATTTTTATATATTTACATAATATTTTTAATAAAAAATCTAAAATTTAATACAATTCTATTTATTTTTTATATATCTACGTAATATTGTTAATAAAAAATCTAAAATATATTAATATTTTTATTTTATTCTTTTATTTTCGAGTTCGAACGAACAAATTTCGAGTTAATCAAACATATTTAAAAAGTTTATGTATTTATATTATTCGAACATGAACGAACTCGAACCTTGACGAACAATTAAACGAACGAACTCGAACACGATTTTTTGCTCGAAAAGAGCAAACACGAACATCGTTCGAACGTAAATGAACACGAGCTCGAATAGCCCAAGCTCGGTTCGATTCGGTTCGGTTACAGCACTATTTGTGAGTGACGTTTAAAAAAAATCTAGGGGTGCAAAAAATTATTTAAGAGGGGGGTAAATTAAATTTTTTAAGTATAATAGTAAAAAAAATTAAAATTTGAGGGGGGGATAAATGTACGTTCGCCCTTGCCCCTAATCCTAGGTGGATGAATTTTCTCATGTTTTGATTTAATTTCATGTTAATTAATCAAACAAAAGAAATTTTAATTCAAGAAACTATAAGAAACAAGAATTAAAAACTTACAATCACTAAGAGACGCAATAATTCAATCCAAATCCAAAGAGTTTCGAGAATTCAAACATGACAAAGAGTCTCCCCAGGCTGTTTTTCATGTCCCAAAAGGCTCCCCCGAGTTTGGCACGAGTACCCCTTTTAACCCCTCAATACTGTCCAAAAAATCAAGTTTTAAATCCTGGATCGTGACCTCCGCGGATCGTGGGATGCTCCACTGCTGTATATCTTGAGGTGTTGCCCGCGGGCTACAGAGCTCTCCACGGGCCACGGTGAACAAATTCATCAGCAACAGCCAGCTGCACGCGCGTGCCCCACGGGCTCGTACGATCTCATCCAGACTCAGAATGGAATTCCGTTTTTTCCTTCTCGTCCACAACATACCCTTCTAGAGTCTTGAGAAACATTTTCTTACAAAAAATAAATATAAAATTAGACGATAGATACACAAAAATATGCAAATAAAACAAAAACAAACAAACGAGCAAAATCATCCTATTGAATCGGGAAATCTATAAAGCGATTTCAAAAACTAAAAAGAAGACCATAAAAACTCACAAAAATACCAACAAAAACATACATAAGAGAGACCTCTTATCACTTGAATGAGGTTCTATTCTCCGATCATTTGACCTTATTCTTGTCACACTACAGAAAGTAGGCCTCGACATCTTTCATATTGATGTATTTGTTGCACTTGGCCAGTAACTCGCTAAAAGACCTAGCCGGTCTCTTTGCCAATGAATTTCTACATAGTCCTGGGCAGAGACCTCTGGTATGATCTCCTGCCTTGATCTCCTCAGAAGATAAAGGACCTACGTGCATTCATTAGTGTTGCGAGCTATGTACTCGCGGAGAATCTCACCCTCTTTATGCTGCATACTGATGAACGCCAGGTAGGTCTTTTCATGATTCTGCGCGCTCGAGTATTGATTAATAAAGTAAGAACTGAATCTCTCAAAGTTGTATATAGATCCGATCGAAAATTGGTGGAACCAATCCTACGCCGACCCCTTCATTATGGTGAGAAGAGCCCTACAGCAAACCGTGTTGATGTACCCGTAGAGAACCAGTATATTTTGAATGACTTCATATGCCTAGTTGGGTCGATCAAAACATCATAGGATAAATTCAGCTTGCAAAAATTTTGGGAAAATGTACCTTCAGTACCTCTTCATTAAACGGGGGACCCTGGCCCTGTGGTGCCACATTGCCATCGATCGGAGCCTGCAACTCCCGTAATTGGGCCACCAACCTCTTGAGTGTGGCATCTCGAGTTGGCTGTGATATGGTAGTAGACGAGGATGTGGACCTCGTGTCTACGTCTTATGGTGTCATTTGAGGTTGTGGCTGTGATGCCATAGGATTTGCTTGACCGGGTGCCCGAGCTCTGGCCACTTCATTTACCACGATCTATCCACTTCAACCTTTGTTAGTTGGATAACCTAGTCTCCCCTGGGAATCTCTTGTTCCCTGGGATTTAGTAGTTGCCCCTACATCTGTTTCTAAGGTTGGTTGGTGACATGCGTCATATTTACGTGCATTTTATAGTGATTTTTGTGTCCGTTTCGTCGTAGTTTGATATATAATTAATTATATTTAGTTAATTAGTATTTAATTAATTATGTATTTAATTAATTATATTAAGCTATGAAGAAGGTGTTTTATTTGAGTTTTGACAGGAAATGGGGTCGATATATTTTTTGAGTCAAAAATGGCGTGAAACGGACATAAAGGGATTGCGAACCATGAATTGAGACGAGCCCAGTTACACAGTCCACAAGAATGATATGATAGTCCATTTTATTTCTCTGCTGGGCCGAATTGAAAAGAGCCTAACAAAGCTCATAGGATATCTTGTAGTCCATTAAAGTCTATCCCAAAAGCTATTTAAATGTGGGGCAGGTTGGTCATTTCCATGACCAAAGTGATCATCTTCATCTCCTTCCTCACGTACGTAACGTCACCACGTCCGCCATGCCTGAACTAGGAGTTGCTGCAAGTCCACTACCTCACGACGACGACGCCACCTCGACCATCTCAGGATCGCCGGATCTCCGGCGGAAGAGCTGATCGCCGTTGAGGAGAGTAAATCGAGAAGAGTTTCTGCTGTTCGACTTCATCCACGCAGGCTGCCATGGAAGCTGACTGGAGCTCGCACTTACGACCGCCGATAACCTTCCTGGGGTGTAGGAGTTCAGCACAGAACACGATGGAGAAGAAGAGCGGCCGGAATCTGCTGCTACTCGTCACTTCCGAGCAGGCGGCGGGAGTTGCCGAAAAACGTACGGAGCACCATCTCCGGCGACCTGGGGCCAACAGAGACGATCGGAATCATTCCTTACGGACCTGAGATGACGTAGAGCACACCAGGAGACGAAAACCACGACCAAAATGGAGCTTCAGAATCCCAGGTACACACAGGTCGTGTGAGCCCGAGACACGAGTCGTGTCGCTCTGACGGGTCGTGAAACCTGCTCTCGACTTTTCCACACGACTCGTGTGGCTTATGACACGAGTCGTGTGGCCCTGGACGCATCAGAATCGGGTTTGATGCGTTTTTCCTATTTTTTCGGCTTTTTCGACCTATTTCGACTAGGACTCGACCTCAACTATATATACAACCCTTGGACACGTTTTTGAGGAGTCTGGGATATAATTTTCACATCTTTAGAGACCTTTGGAGGCTACAAACACGAGCAAGACGAGGGAGAAAGCCGGGAAGAAAGGATCGACGGAGCCGAATAAGCTTTTTCTTTCTTTTTCTTTTCCTCTTTCGAACTCAATGTTTTATATCTATTTTTATTATTTTAAAATCATGTTTCTAGGCTAGATTTATCTTAGATTCTAGGATTTGTTAGTACTCGGATTGATTTATGATTTAGTTTTTATTTATTTCATTTCGGTTTATCTTTCGTTTATAAATTTCTTGTGCTTATTATTATTGTGTGAGTAGATGGCCACTATGAATGCATATTTGTAATTGATTTGAGACCGAGAGGAGATAATTGATTGCTAGAATTGGGAGATTTATAACGTAAGAGAATAAACAGACCGAGAGGTTGATAGGACCTTGCGAGAGAATGAAAATCCTAGGAACTTATGGGAGTTAGTTGTTCAT